TACTGAGGATGGCGGAGGTATCGGTTCGATTTTAACAGTTTGTTTTGTCGATGATATCATATTTGCATGTATCAGGTTTACGGTGTCGTGTGTGCTTACGCAGGTGATTTTACACCAGCAAAGAAAAGTCGTTAATTTTGACGCGGGCAAGTGCATCTTAGTTGGTGGTGTTCCGAGAGATATTTTTATAATCAGGCTTTTTATTTGGATTCTTGTCAATGTCTCAACCGATTTCTGTTCAAATGCAAGCTTTTTTACCCAGACGGCAATTACTTGAGAAAATCCGGGACGGCAAAGTCAGCTTTGATCAAAATTGATGATAGTTTAATCAGTGTCTAAAATGTCAGCATCCCATGACTGCCATAACACCAACCGACACCGCTGAAAGCTGAATAAACAACAGACAACACATTCTCCCAACAAAAGCATTTTCATGCGCCGGTTTTGGTTGCTCATTTGGATAAAGAAGCACAATGAAGATTGGAATGTTAAGAGCAAATTCAATGGGAAGATAGAGAATTCATATAGACCGATGTTACAAGAATAATGAATATATGCATGAGCGTCACTGTTTGCGACACCCAGTCATATCGCTCAGTGTATCTAACCATCGGTGACCATGATCTCGGGGTCACCAGCCAGGTAGTCAAGCAGAACCCATGTGACCCAGACTCCTGGCTAGGGTTTTCATACCTTCATGCCAGGTCCTCGTTTGAGTGCCCTTGATCTTTTTCCAACTTCTACTTGCCTCGGCAAACATCGCTCACCGTGGTAAATTATCTTGCCACATGCCCCAACCAGCTTGATCTATGAAGGTCGACTACTTGCTCCAATGAGCAATCGCGATTATCTAAGACTCTACGCCTAATCTCAGTATTGCTCGTCCGGTTACCCCACCAGACTCGTGCAATGCGACGTAGACAGCGGTGTTCGCATACCGACAATCCTGTTTTTTGAATGGCCAATTTTCTGCGCTTTAAGCAGCACTAGTCAAACTGCTGCGGCATACACTCGACCCGAATGTCGGGTCTTAAGTTGGCCGATGCCAACCGAGCCTTCTGTATGCGCGCTGAAACTTCATCCGTGATTCGTCCACCGGGTGAGACGTAGCTGCCCAAATAACAAAACTTGTCCACTTGCTCTATTACTTTCGCAGTCAGTGTGGGGTTGGGACAAGGCCAACCGAATCTTGTAGCGATATTTTACACTTTGATGGTGCAAAACGCCTACCAAAGATATATTTATATATGGTACAATAATCTTTATATAAAGTAAGATGTTCTTTGATTTGCATGTGGGCGGAGTACTGCTAGGTTGCCCAGGCCAAGACAGGTGATTCTTCTTGAGGAATCCGCAACCGTGGCCTTTGGCTAATCAAAGCCTGACCCACAAGGCAGCAGGGCGGTGTGCGAAAACCGCAATCCATGGGGGACCGGTATCCAGTTCATCGGATCCTACGCCCTTTGGACGGGGTCGAACGTCCAATGTGCCTAATACACGTTTGTGCCCAAATGAGCCGGTGACCACTGCCGAAACCGGGAAGGTGTGTATGATTCGTACGCCTCCTCTTGGTGGGTTTGAAATCAGTGTTTTTGGCCAACTCCCCTAAGTGGACTACCAGTGGTCCACCAACCCGATTGTAGTCTCGGATGTCGCCTTTTATTCCTCTCACTTTGGTGGGAAAACACCTCCGCCACGAGAAGGCAGTAAGTGGGGCTTCCTCAGCGGAGGCTATTTGAGAAGCTTGGTCGTATGGAGGCATTTCGCGAGGTGCAAGGGTAGGGTGACCAGCCGCAACCCTAGACACCCACCTTTGAGCATACTGAGGCTTGGGAGGCCACACTGGCACTGAAACTATCGAGAAAAGCATGCAATTTACCTGGATGTTCAGTTAGCGGCATAATGTCGTCTGCATACTCCAAATCACAGTCTTCCATCTGAGAGTAACTGGATAACATCATCCGTATGCGAGAATAG